AGAGCTGGAGCCGGTGCTTACTCCAAATATTTCAGCCTTAGAGATCCTCTTGACACTCGGATAGATAATTTTGATGGAGAAATATTTGCAATACTTATGGCTATTCACAGGCTGCTATTCAGACCATTTCTGAATATAATTTATACCCCTCTGAACTTGAATTTAAGTGTAAACAACGCATCGACTCTCTTCTTTGTTCTGGAAGAGAGGTAGTTCTCCAGTGGATCCCTGGCCATTGAGGCATTTACGGAAATGAACGGGCTTACACGTTGGCCTGAGAGGCTTCAGCATTGCACCCACCTTCTCATCCAGTTCCCCTTAGAAATGCAAGGCGGCTTCTTAAGAGCAAATTCAGACACCGAACAATATTTGCTCTTAGGGACTTAGCTGATGGAAAATCCTGGGCTAGCCTTCTTGATGACCAGCAGCGCTCTCTTCTTTCCCTCCTTACCAGGGCCGAGGGAGTTGCTTGCCTTAGAATAATTACTGGACATGACTACTTGCAGACCCATCTATTTAAAATTAACCTGGTCAATTCACCTCTTTGTGTGCTCTGTAACACTTCGCCTGTGACTGGGGAGCATCTTTTCGATTGCCCCTCTCATCTTGACATTCGTTCCTGTGATGACTTGCGTGCCCTCTCACCTTCGGGAGCTACTTCAGTGTTGTATTGGACTGCAAGACGCCTTATGTCTGAGAAGACGATGGCCGGCGTAATTTAAAAATAAATAAATTTATATTATTAAATTTAGTAGAACTAAACACATTAGGTCTCAAACTGAAAGTTTACTCAAAGCTTATGTCTTTTCTCAAAGTTTAAATCTTTCTCCGAGTTTAATGTTTGTAATGTGATGAAAACGTTTAATCGGTTCTGTTATTCAGAGACAAAGCTGAACTAAATCGTAACTTTGGGTGTTTTAAAAACTCTATTGCCGATAATGGACACCGTAACTTTGATCCAGTTGTTGTTTGTACGTTTACAGATTGTTAAAGTATTACTCAATTTCTAAAAAACTAATTAAATAATTTTTTTAAAAAGAATTGATTATCGTTGAACATTTTTTATTAAATTTTCTGATCTCTGATTTTATTTAATTTCTTTAGCGGAATTTTATTGAAACTGATTGTAATTTGTCTGTATCGTTTATTTAAAAAATATAGAAAATATTTCTTTTTTAATTCTAAATTCTATTATATGAATTAGTATAAAATTATGAAGGTGAAAGTAAATACCACTTTATCAAATTTAAGTTGGGGCTTAAAATTCATATTTTATTCAAACAGTTCGTTACAGACTTTTGAAAAAATAATGAATTTAAAAAGAGGTATAAAAAGTGAGTGTTAACAATTTAAATCAATTGATCGGAAATATCGTGACGTGTGGATTTTGAACTTGGAAATTAAAAATTAGAAAAGAAGGTAAAAAAAAAACAAAAACAAAAAAAAACGCCCAGAGATTGACTCGGGTGTGGCTACTATTTGGACCCTCAAGTTCTCTCTTTATCTCTTTTTTTTAAATTTCTCACGGTGGGGGGAGGTGCACTGCACTGCCTGCAAGGCTTGGCGTAGATAATGATTACGAAATATTCCTCAAATGGATAAAAGCTGTGATTTAATTTGAAATTTTAATGAATTTTAGAAAAATGAAAATAAAGAAAAAATTAATTTAAAGAAAAATCCTAACTCTTATAATAATTAAAAAAATGAAAAAAATGGGAAAATTTTAAAAATATATTTTTAAAGTTTTTTGGAACAATTTAAAAACTTTACAAATGATAATTTTTTGTGCTAATAAATGCTTTATATTAATATAGGCTCACGATTGCTTTAATTTAGACAATAATAGAATTGACCCTTTTCTAGTATTTAATACATATTTCGGACACATTATTAACAATTAAATGGGATTTTTAATAAAATGACTTATTTTCCGTTATACATTTTTACATATGTTACGGAACCTTATTTTTATGTTTTTTTTTTATTTTTTTAAAAAAACTATTTTTAATTTTTAAGGTTGTTTTTCCTTAAAAAAAAAGGAAAAAAAACTTGATGGAGATGAATAATGTTTTTTTTTTGTGCAATTAGCACTTAAAACAATCTTTTATTTTTAAACAGCCGAACTAGTGCCTTTTATGTCAAATACTGAACATATGTCAAATACTGATACATGTATAAAATATTTAAATGATTTATCTCAAAATCAGTTCATTATTAGTATTAGTTATCATTATCAATCATTCAAATGCCATAATTTTACACAAATAACATAGAAAAATGCATATCCTTGAAATTATATTTATTTGAAACATTGTAAAAGTACAATATATTTTAATATTTTCGATAAATTGTAACGTTAATTTATGTTGTTGCGTTAACAGTGTTAATTTTTTTTCTAAGCAGATACACAGATTAGCACTAGGACTGGGCGATGTTAGAAATTATATATCGTGATGCATCGTCAGTTTTGCATCGCGATATAGCGATGTATCGCGATATAGTATTTTTGAATTTCATTTACTTGTAAGGCACAGAAAGTCAGATTTCTATCAAAACTTCATACTCAGATTGATTTAAATCAATTTATAAATTTGAAGATATATATGTTTTGCTTAAGAAAGATATTAAATAAATTGACTACAATGT